TAAATATAATCGAATCATGCCCCCCCCCCCCACACCCACCGCCCGCCACTATGATAATCGAATTTTGGGGTTGAATTGTTGCTACGCGTCTGGTTGGATCCAGCATCAGGCCCGGGGCGAAATTCCGTGCTTTGGAGTCCGCGTGCCTCTGCTGCCACCAACGGGCCCGAGCGGGGAACTGCTCTGCCCTTGGGTCGGCCGCCCACGACACCAAGAACCTTTTACTGGTAGGAACCTACTGGTTCCACCAGCCCACAGAGGATTATTATGTCCGTCCGTCCGTCGTGCAGGGAGGGGCTGGGTGGGGAGGGAGGGGCTGGGTGGGGAGGAGAGGGTGGGGAGGGGCTGGGTGGGGAGGGGCTGGTCACCCCGTGGTGCCCTTATAAAACTCAACGTTTAATCTACTCACGCCGGCTTGTGCCCGCCCTCACAGTCGGGCATATTTGCGGAATACACCACGTCGCCGTTGACCCTGGCTATTGACCGAGCAACCCAACGTTCCTACCAGCTCCCTCCGCAGGATGAATGTGTATACCATTTAGCAGACGGATCGCGTGAGTTCAAACCGTTTGCTAATTTACCTATGCAGTTAATGATCAACCACGATCCGTAGTGTTTGCCCTGCTGGTGAAAATAGGGGTGCTCAATGCGTCTGGCGCAGCATTAATACTGAAGCAGGGGCCGTCCATAAAAGGCGTCACGCACCTGGGGGGGGGGGGGGTCAGACATTTGTGACGATGTGTGACGAGAGGGGGGGAGGGGGGTTTGAGAAATGTGACGTCACATCATAATGCGCAACTTTAAATAAATATAGACGACACGTTCTTCTTAATGAAATATACTTTTTAAGAAATGTTTTCTCCTACATCATCAGAGTGCAGCGGCACATTAAATACGCACTACAATGACAATACTGTAGTTGAAAGCGATTTGAAGCATGTAAAAAATCGTCCAAAATCGCGTGACGTAATTTATGGACAGCCCCTCATAAACCCATGTAGGTGTTTATATAAGTCTGGCTGCATGACGCTGACCAGACACTGCCGAATCCTATCAATGCCGTCTGGCTGGCTCCCTAATCTCTTCATTATCAACAATCCACGCGACAAGCGCAGTACAGTACAAGTCTTCGTCCGAGCTCGGGGGTGTTTCCTCCTGACGCTCGAATGCTTCCCGGCCATAGTAATAATAATTTATACAATAATTAGAATTATCATCGCTCAGATCGCGAGGAATCGCGTGCACGAACACGCCACGCGGGATGGGAGGAGGAGCCTCGACACGCGCGGTCACGTGGCACCACCCTCCCAGGCACAAACCAATTTGCGTTTTGGACAAAACAGAAGTTTTTGTTCAATGTGTGTGTGTGTTTACCGTGTATGTGTGTTAAATAGGTGTGTGTGTGTGTTTACCGCATGCGTTCAATATGTGCGTATGTGTTCAATGTGTGTGTGTTTACCGTGTGTGTGTGTATATGCTTACCAGGGGCGCAATATGTAGTTTTGGTGTATCTTGCTTACAACTCAACCTGAAACCTGTTGGGGCACAAACGGCGCCGACTTGGCACGGCGACCTGCTGTGTGTTCCGTGTCTGAGCCCGCGGGCATTCTTCGCAATGGTGCGGTACAGTAACATGGCGATGTTTTGTGCAGTGTCTGGCTCGTCACTTCTAGCGTAAGATTTTCGCAGCCGATACGACGATTCGTATTTGTGTGTAGTTTTTTTTTTGGGGGGGGGGGAGTGGTTAGGCCACGTGGTTAGTTTTATTGCCCCCCCCCGCCACCACCCGACAAGATTGTAAAGGTGACAACCTCGTCTCGGGCTGTCGAGGGTTCATGACGAGAATGATTGAATCAAACGACCAAGTGGCCGAGCCCAGAAAAAAAAACACATTGATGGCTGCCTGGCTAATTTGTTACCTCGCCATCGTCTGGGACAAATGTACTGTGCAGTAGACAGTATCGAGTTGTAGAATTTTCACTTCTATTTTTTCACTTCTATTTTTAAATGCTGGGGTTTACAGTGCGCTCTGCTACGATGCAGGTGACCTGGATTTCAGCGTGGTCCAGATGTCTTGTGACCCGCAATTAATTGACCCCTCAAATGTTTCCCCTTGCATATTCATTCCTGTTTTAAATAAACCTTTAAAAATTACCAAGTTTTAGAAAATGAAATGAAGTGGGGGGGGGGCACAAGACATATGGACCACCCTATGTAGAATTTAGCATTTAAGAGTTAACTCAGCCTTAAATGAGCAGTGCTGTGTGAATGCCTGGCCACTGGGGAGACATTGTGGGCCTGGTACGGTGCTGCCTAACCGCCCATGTCCACCTCACCCGCCTACATGGATGGCACGGGAGATCTGAACACATCCTGATTAATGGGCTCCTCTGGCAGGCGACGATGCATTGGCTTCATCATGCAGGCCACAAATCGAGCCACTGCTGCCCAAGCAGCCTTTGTTTGGCGGGGATAGATGAGGGAAATAAATGGATGTGGCATGGTCTCGAGAAAAGATGGGCTGATGCGGTACAGAAGGATGAACCGATGACTGGGAACCAGCGGTCTCAAGATCGGCCTCTGTAGAGGAGAGGCTTTGTGAAGGACGCCACTGGGCAGTTGGAGACAGCGGAGCGACGCTCACAACAACGAGCGGAGCCCTGGATGGCGGATGGCTAAAACAGCGAGTTGGTCCCGTCGGGAGTGATTGCGCAGCTAAACATCAGGATGTCTGCCAGCGAACTGTCGCTTCTCAATTTATCGCACGGCTTGGCACAACGCGGCGAATGCCACCGCGGTTTGCGGTGAATAGCGTCTGGTTGGCGATACGCAACGCGGCATGTGTCCCAGCGCAGCGGTACGGCTCCTTTTGTCGACCCCACCGCTGAACGAGGCCGAGCCCCACGCCGCGGCTGGCTCCGTCCATCCCCCCCCCCGCCCCGCCTTGGCGTGGTGGCCCCAGTGGGGCCGGCCCTTGGCACCCCCAACACCCCCACCGGCCCATGGGGTGCGACAAGATTCGCTCTTTGACGCCACCGGCTTGAAAACTCGACGCGGTCTCCACGATGGCTCGCGGCTGACGCCCGAGGGCACTCGTCTGCTCCGGACGCAACGGTCTCACCCCGTCGACTTTTGGCGATTCTGATGGTGGTACCGTGCAGGCCGTGGGGTGGTGGGGGGGGGGATTATTTCACCATATTTCACCACGCTGGTCAGCGGGGCTTGGTGAAGGCTGGGGGAGCAGAGTTACAGACAGCGTAGCACGCAGCAGCCGATAGGATGGCAACTTTGTTTTGTGCACGGCGGTTGTTCATCCCAAGCAAGCACTTAACCAGGCTCAAAAAATCTGCCGAGCTTTCGAGATCGGACGCATTTTGGCTCATGCGAGTGAGTGCACTGGAATGTTGGCAGTGTTGGCGCAGATACTGTTTTAAATGATGGAGTTGGCAGCAGTTTGTGAATGAATCACTCTCGTCGCGTGCAATTGTGAGAGGGATGCTGTCGTGAAGTCAATGGTCAGGGGCACTCGACTTTAAATGCAGAGTTCGACGGTTCGATTTGACCTCCTGGCACGGCAGTTGCAAGCGAGTACGTAAATTCCGTCACATTCGTAATCAGACTCTTTATCCTGGGAGAAATCCTATGAGCTATGAAGCTCAGATATCCAGTCAGGGTGGGGCAGTTCATGAAATCTTCCCCACCGCCACTGTTCACCACACGGCAGGTCGCGTGCTTGCTATGGTGGGGTAAAGTATGGGTACTCTCCCACCTCTTGCACGACGTCTGGCCAGTGTGGAAGAGTAGGCCAAAAACACCCTCCAGAGGGGTTCTCTAGAGCTCCCTCTAGCGGAGGCCCATGCTGTGAAAAGACCTTTATAGCTCATCGGATTCCTCCAGTGTCAATAAATATTCTTCCGCCATAAGTGGCGATGACCAATAAATGACAGAGGGCTGCACATGCACCCACAATTGCGTAGGTTGTTCACGAACCAGGCGGCGCAGTGTGTTCAGAGTCTGCATTGATAGATGGTGAACGTGGTGTAACAGATTAAAACTTTCCATTTTTTAAGGGGCCCGAGTAATAGACCACAACATATGTAGATTACAAGTTGCTTTTTGTTGTTGATTAATGGGCATTGTCCCTTCCGAGATCTGGCGATATGGGACACATTTCAGTTGCTTTGGTCATAGGCTATATAATTATTTTAATGATGTTCAAGCCATTGCTTGGCTAGCAGACCTCGACCTTTATCTCCCGAACACATTGCCATCATGCGAAAGAAAAATGCCAATATTATATTCGCTATAGAGGAAAATTGTGTAAAATAAGTATGTGTTAAGATTTAATCAAATTCTTTGCAAATTAGACACTCGTGCTGCATCTAAGGTAATCGAGAAAACAAAACGATACAAAAAACTGAAAAAATATGAACGAGACAGCAAGAAACTAAAAATTTTTTAACCAAAATTGCGACCAAAAATCGTAATATTTCTTGGTAGTCGGACCGAATCTTCACATTCCGAGTGTAATAATAACCCCGATACAGGAACACCCACGGCACCAGTTTGACACATTCCGGCTGGTCCGCCCGCGGTCCCTCTCGGGTTTAACCAGACCAGACTTCGCGAGACCTTCTCTGAAGGCACTTGCTTCTCATACTCTCTTTGGCCCGTGGACCACTCCGCCGATAGGAAACATTTCCGCGTACCACCCAACCTCCTGTATGCCAGGCGAAGTAGTTCACATCTCGCCACCACGGCGCCTCTACTGCTGCGCACAGCGCAGTAGTCCCATCAGAGGGCATCTGTTGATAAGGGTCCGACCCATCCATCACCTGCCATCGAGCCTCCCACACTCGAACCTGTGCCAAGCTAGGTGCACGTTATGTACCGAGTGCTCTTGTGCTTGGCGCAAACTCGGTGGCGAATGGCGGCTGTCGATGTTGACGATGGCGATGTTGTGCGTTGTGATAACAGAAGAATCGATGGTCACACGTGAATCTCACACCAATTTTTTTTATTTCAATTTATGTCAAGTTTTTTCACCTGAAACACCATGAAAAGGCAGCTTTTGAGAAGTCCTAGTGAGGGTTGTAGAATCACCTCCATATGTATTCACTTGTTCAGTACGTAAGTGGCAAGGAATGGGATGCGTCCGTGGGAATGTCAATAGAGGAGATGCATCAGTGCCAATGTCAGTGTGTGTACGCACATGCTGGTACATACGTGTGTATGTGTTGGTAGGTCTTTGTCCCTGTGTTGGTGTGTATGCAATGTTTTATCTAGATTTGTGTGCGTATGCATTTCAGTCTGTGTATATGTGTTGGTGTGTATGCGTGTCAGTGTGTACATGCGTTGGTGTGCGTACGTTTACATTTCTATACGTCAGTGTGTACATGTGTATCCATACGGGTGTGTTTCTGCATGCATGAGAGTTGCCGTGCATGTGGGTTACTGTGTATGTTGGTGTGATAATAAGGGAATGTGTGTGTCTTTGTTTTTTGTCAGTGTTGGTATATGTATGTTGTAGTGTGGTGTGCGTGAGCGTGCGATTCCATGTCACCCCGACTTGTCATCACTTCTTCTTTGACATGTACACCACAAACTCTGCAAATGGAAACACAACAGCATTTACAAACAATACAAGGAAGCCATTAATTATTTAGCAAATACCCACCATTTGTGAGTTGCTTACATGGCTATACGCTGAAGGACAAACCCTACATTCATTCCTTGAAACGATTACCTTAACCCATTACGGAAGAAGCTGCGGGTTGGCATGTGCAACGCCACGAGGCAAATGTGAATCACAAGAGTAAAAAACCACACTTGACACCAATGATGTACATTGTTAGGCAATAGAGTACACCAGCCAATTACACTGGCTCTGGCCCCAAATCTAACCAGACTCTGCAGGACCTCCTGCCTCCAGCCATGCACTATTTTCCATATCTCCCATTTCCTTTGCCCGTCTGCCACCGAGCCCCCCATCCGTGTCTCCATCACACCGTTGCCTTGCCTGCTCAAAATCCCTCTCTGTAAAGATTTAAAAAAATCCATCCCCTCCAAACTCCTAATAATCTGGAATTATACCACTTAGACTTCTGCACCTGCACCCATAAAACACTCGCATCAAAATACCCCGATCTGTCCCACGGGCTCTCAAATCCAGTCCCAAACCATTTACGAGATCACCCCTCATTGTCTACAGCATCCTCCATGGATTCGACCCCTGCTCCATGTCCTCTCAGCTCCAGCAACAACATTTTTTGGTGAAACTCTCGAATCACGTCTCTGCTGCCGCCATCGAGGGCTGAACGTTCTTCCCCCCAGCCGTCTCTAATGTCGGCTCCCAGCCTCGGTTCAAGACCCCTTCCTCTTCTCCTCTGCCTATGACTGTCCCCCCCCTCCTACCCATCTATACAGGGATCTCAAATTGTGTCTTTAAATTAACAAAAAAATTCACATCTGTGACCCTGCCATTATTTTATATTGCAACATATTAGACACTAGCCATGAACTAAACATTTTATTTTTATTTTACCAGGCAAGGCCCAGTGAGCTATATAGCTCGTTTGTAGACAAATACACTAAAACGCGTGTTTCTACATGTGCAGGGAAAAACTGGTAGGACCCGGAGAAAAAATCCACACGATCACGGGGAGAGAGACATGCAAACTCTAAGTGGTGGCCCTATAACCACACTGGTCATTTAAATGCTGGCACTAACATTTTTGTCTTCCACTCTCACCAAAATTAACACCAACCAACACAAACTCTAAAAAGCCGAGATAAACGTGTGTAGGCCTAGGCTTAAAAACTAAAATGTGGTCACAAATGCTTCCCCCACCCTGCCGCCCGCTAACGTTGCGATGGCCTCAAAACTCAAAATTGTTGTCGTTATTACCGTAGCATATCCTTGACTACAGGCACGCGTCAAAAATTTAGCCATCCAGAAATAACTTCCAGAACAAGTTTACATCATTCCAGTCCGTCCACCTCGATAGAGTATCGTCAGACAACAATCGCCCGCCAAGGTGGCCTCACCCTTGTAGGAGATCTTGTCATCCTTTCCCCGGTCGTTTTGAAGGAAGAAATCGTCCACGGAGTTCTCGGGAAGCCCCAAGCTCTTGAGTCCCTCCTGCACCTCCTGCTTGCTCAAGTACCCAGATTCATCCTGCAAATGGGCGACATCGCCGTTGACCAACCGTGCGAATCGGAGGTGGGGAGGGGCAACAAACTAAAAGCACAAAAACACACAAAGTTGATAAGAATAATTCTCAAATTGAGCAAGTTTCTACGATCTGGGGATAGACAATGGCAGGGAATTCCACATTCGAGTCATGCGAAGAGAAGGAAGCAGAAACATGCGTTGAGATTATTTAGATAATTTTGATGCTATAAATGTCCAAATTATGGGCCACTATGTTGAGCTGTCATTTGTAGCCAAGTCGCTTCTGAAAAAGAAGTTAAACCTCAGTGGGCCCTGGTAGGATGGAGATGGTTTCGTTTTATTTGTTTGTTTGGGTGATTTGCACTACTATCATGTTTTTGTAACGTTCTTACCCGCCCCTATTGGACATCTGCGACAAAGAGCTTGATAGCTCATCGGATTCCTCCAGTATGAATAAAATAAATATTATGATTCTGAGAAAGAGAAGGGCTTTGATTCAGCCAGCGTGGTGGTTGAACCCAGTATGGATGAGATGAAACGGCGAGTCTGGTGGACGGAGTCCTAAAAATGAGTGGAGGAATTTCGATTTAAAGCTTTCGTGACTGCAGGGATTCATCTTCTTGGTTCTTTCGGTAAAGTCACGTAGAAGGGAAGTAATACAATAATAAAAACAATTCTCACGACGTTTCGGCCACAACGCAAGCAGCCGTCCTCAGGCGAAGAATGAAGCACCACCAAGCTTGGAGCGTATATTTAAGCTGGGTTAGAGGGGGGGAGGTGGGAAGAAGAGCGCCTAAACAAAATAATTTGCATATCAAGAGGATATGCTGAATTCCTCTTGATATGCAAATCATTTTGTTTAGGCGCTCTTCTTCCCACCTCCCCCCCTCTAACCCAGCTTAAATATACGCTCCAAGCTTGGTGGTGCTTCATTCTTCGCCTGAGGACGGCTGCTTGCGTTGTGGCCGAAACGTCGTGAGAATTGTTTTTATTATTTTATTACTTCCCTTCTACGTGACTTTACCGAAAGAACCAAGAAGATGAGTGGAGGAATCAAGGGGTGAAGTTCATGGAAATTGTAACGACCATTGTAGTGGCGATAGAAGATTGACAAGGAGATGACTGACCGACAGTTGAGGGAGCGAAAAGTTAATGTGTGAGTGCTGAATAATCGATTACCCTGAGTGGTTAACGTTGAATCGTTTTTTTTACGACTTCACCCCCATCCTCACGACAAATCCCCGTGGACAGGGTGAAGGAGCCAATGGATCACATACGTAGTGCATTAAACACGTAACCAACTTTCGATGACAATTATCATTCGTATTTGCCCTTGGTTAATTCACTGCTAGACAAAGGCCTCCCCCATGCCGCATCGCTCAAAAGGACCGTTTGCCCACACTTCACCATGCTGGTCAGTCAGCGAGGGTTAGCGAAGAGCACGATCTATAGATTGCTCAAGTTAAAAAGACTGGGTAATGATACCCCTGAGCAGCAGCATGGGGGACTGATTTTGAATCAACGTCGGGTTTTAAAACTCAGCCCACCTTGTGCCCTATCCCCTCGGCGAAAGCGTCTGCACGCAGATGCTGCTGCTGCCTCCCGCCGCTTTATTCCTGCCCAATATCTGCAATGTCACCCGAGCCCCCGACCCCTCCACCCCCACAGTGACGTAAGCAAGGAATTGCAGGGCTGCACCTAGACTTTTTTTGAGCGTGCAAAATGACGGGCCGCACCCATAAGTTAATCCGTTCAAAATAACTGCCGCAGCTTTAGGCCAGTCTTGTTTTTCTAGTTTCAGAGAGCCAGACCGACACCTGAGTTATTGCATGTGAAGGAAGTTGATGGTCGTAGCACCATCACGAACGACTGCACTAAAACAAAACAAAAATCGAGATTTGAATTCGATTTCTTGTTCTCCTTTTCTCATCTTTATAAATGTCAGCTGATAATTATAGGAAATATGGTTGTACTGCCATGTCACAAACGCTTCTCTGTCGCAGGGTATAAGGGGCATTATATTCCCTGAGTGCGTGCCTAAATAAATGGCACTGCAAGGGATATTTCAAAAGCTGTTCTATGACATTTCCTTCTACGGGCCATTCTCCAGCACATGGAGCGTCACCACTCTGCCACCAGAGTTAGAAATGGACGTTTAATTGTAGGACAGGATGCCAATATATAAATGGGAATAACATTTGTAATGACGCAATTTTTTTTTTATATGTAAGGGTTATCTCTATGCCACCCCATCATCTCGCATGCCATATGCCAAGTAAGTGTTGGGCGACACCAATTCCACCTCTTGGTCGATGACCGATCAGGTCATGGAAATTCCACTTTAATGTGTCAGAGCTTCGTTTGGTCTTAAAATGTCAAGCACCACTGTCGATGTTCCCGTGCAGATTGTGGGGCAGCCTCATCCGTCGGTTAACACTTCACCGACTACTTTAGGATGACGACGACGACCATGACGATGATCGTGGTGCATTCAGTTGGAGGATGAAAACGTCCTTACCTTGTCCAAGCTCCGGAATTTGTCCCCCAATTCCTTCATCTGTTTTGCAAGTGGAGATGGCTTTGGTTGAGACTGAGAAGTGGGAGAGACATGGAGAAGAATCGTAAATCATTGGTTCACTTACATTCGGTTGCTCGGTTTAGCCAGGTGAGATGAAGCTCATCTCTAGTCGCAAGGTCGGCCTGGCTCACCATCATTATATTTAACGGATAGCCTTCCATTATTATTCCTTCGTGACCGTTTTATAGATGGTCTTTGGGATTATAACAATTATTTTCCCGAATAATTTCACCGCTAGATCGCAAGACTGTAGTAGTTTTTTCGTGATAGATATGTTAGTAAACGGGTATCATCGTATGGTTTTATAGAGTAGCATATCGGAACAAATAACACACTTATACGACACGAAACATCTATAGAGTATGAAAATAGATAGGCAGAATCGATAAAACAGCTGGTATAAACGAGAGGAATTTCCACCCGCGGCTGATTCTAACTATGGTGGATATGGGTAACGTTTGCCACCCAACGTGGTGCCGAGCAATTCGCTTGGCTCCATGCGGGCTCGATGGGTCGTCCCGCGCCAGGCGGTTGGTGGGTGGGTGGTGGGCGCGGCTCCGTGCCAGTTCGGACATTCCACATGAGTCAGACATCATGGATAAACAAAGGCGTTCACTGCAAATGAATAAATAAATTGTTTTAATACTGTACGCAGCGAGCCACTGGATTTGTGTTGTGTCCACGCAATATCTGTGGAATCCACGGCTACATTCTTAATATAATATAGCCACACATCTAATATCAGACCGTGATATATCCGCCTTAACCATTTGTGTCCACACCCAGTGCAAAAATTTTGCACGGTGGCGTAACTGTCATTTTTTTAAATAGATGTTCACTTATCCGACCTTTTTCACATATCCGCCTATGCCTCAAGTTCCCAGTGAGTCGGATATATGCAATGGATGATTTATTTTATAACCTTAACCACCTCGACACCCTGCACACCATTCGACCACCACTTTTGAAAAGGACTTGACATTTAAACTGGCGTTTGCAATGATTAACGCAGGGAAAGCCTCACCCAGCCTTAAAGCCTCGCCGAGTCTCAAGACGAGGTCAGGAGGGTCCTGCATTGGGATGTTTGGCCAGTGGCGTTAACGAGTGTTTGGCGTGTGGGAGTTAACCAGAGAACTCACAGAAAACCCACCCAGTGCAAACGAGTGGATTAAACTTGAGAATTTCCCGAGATTCGTTCAGTTCAGACCAAATAAACGTAATCTGTGTGTGGAATAAATAAATAAGCAAACGATACGCCCCCTTCATATCGGTTTGTCCACGTAACAACAACAAAATCCCATTGGCCTGCGAATGCATAGCTTTAGTAGCATCGGTTCAGTACAAACTCTAGACCGGTTTCCTACTTAAGAGTGTTTCATCAGCAGAAGTCAGACTTTGCTTGATGCAATGCTTGGTGAACTGCCAGACGTAATTGTGAAGGTCCCTCGATTTTAAAATGATACAATTTCGGTGGCTTATGGCCCCCTTATTCTAGCTCCTGCGCCCGTCGCCCCCACTGATGTCCTCTTCCACAATGTGTGCAGATACGACTGACTATTGTATATAGGGGGTGTAGGCATATTTGCCTGCAAAATAAAAAAAAAATATGGAGGGGGGGGGGGTGTATTTATTTAGGGGGGGTCGACAATTTTTGTAAACCTGTTGAACTTTTTACCCCCAGATCTGGGAGGGGGTCCACTTTCTATCACTTTTTTTTATTCAGGCCTCCTGAAAGGCTCTTATAATTTAGTTGACGTACAAACAGACAAACGGACACACGGAACGCCGGGCTTTTATAATAGATGGGTTGGCCGATCTGTTTTCCAACTGTTGGCCACTGTTGCATCCTGCAGGCCCACGCGTACACACACGTTGTATGCACTGCCCCCCCCCCGTCCCCTCCCCCCATCCAAGCACTACCCAGGCTCAAACCCTCCTTGAAAACAAACACATTTTTGCAAAACCAAAATAGTTTTTTTTACTTGCAAGTTGGGAGACATCCAGGACCGCAACCGATGGGGGGCGGGTGGGAGTTACAGATTCTCTACGACCACATTCAGAATGGGCGAGCGGTGGCGCAAACGTTTGGTCTGGAGTCACTTTAATTTGGGGAATCGCTGCGAAATGCTTGGGAAGAATGTCTCGAAAATAGGAGGCTTTGGAAATCTTTGAATGTACTACATACGCAGTTAAAATGTTATTATTAATCCGCCCTGCCTCTGCTCACCCAGCAGTACAAATGGCCACACCACTATTAGGCATGTCGACAAACACGCAGTGGACCAACAGATTGCGTGTGGTGGGGCAAAGCATGGGTGCTCTCCCACCTCTACCAACACGTATCGACAGTGTGGAGGAATAGACAACAAATACCCTTCAAGGAGGGGCCCGCTAGAGCTCCCTCGAGTGGAGACCCTTCCACCAGCAGTGACGAACGCAAGGCATTGCAGGGCTGCGCCTCTACCACTTTACCGAGGTGCGCAGATGAAGAAACTGCCCAGCCCTGCCGTGGTGGCTCGGAAGCTGTTAGCCCACGTTACCTCCCTGCTCTCGACCAATCAATGCACTCTTATCCCCTTGGCTCAGACTTCCTCTCTTTTCACCTAGTTCCCGACCTAAGTTATGATGAGGGGGGGGGGGGTTTCTCAATTGCTCCGTTATGGGTCTCTTGTCGTTTCCAGATTTGATCATCCTAGAGCAGCAAACGTCCGCGTCTTTACACATGCAGTGGCACATTTCCACTGCTGGATGAATGCCGCATCTGTGCCGTCGTGCCAGACATGGGGAGAGGGTGCGAGGTCGCTTTGACCATATTTCATCACTCTGGCTCAGTTCGGGTCGGTGAATTTGTCATCTGGAAATCATTTCCATCCCCCCTTAAGTCGGCGTAGACTCGATTATACGCTTGCGAATTTTTTTGTCAGTGTCCCCTAGCCCTTTGAGAACAAAGTTACGCGTGTTGGCTTCCTCGGGTAACGATCACCGCCTAATGAGTAGATCCAAGTGGTGGCGTTGTGTTAGTCCAGAGCTCCGGACACCGAAATCACGAGAAGCGCCATTATTTTTTAATTCGGTAAAGAAAAACAATAGTTCAACAGCCGCGATGTCATGCGAATAAGAGATGGTGGTTTCTTAATAAGCAACGTAATGAAGCGTCATTTCTTAAGCCGTATGCGGTACTCGAGCGCAGGTTTACCTACCAACCTGGTGTAGGAACAAGCGATGGGATTCGATCACATCGCACGCGTTTCCTGGGCAATATTTTTTTTTAATATTCGTGAAGAATGATCTCGGCCAAGCGCAACAGCTAAAACCACAAAACCCACATCCGACAGCCTCAAAGCACATCCGCGTTAAACCTACGCAATCGCATGTACACACACACGCGCGCCTTCCCGAAATTACATGCTATTGAAAATGTGCTGGTAACGATATCATCAACATCATCTCACGTGTTACACGCTAGAAACTCGGTTAGACAATCACATCTTGGCAAATCCATGTTGGGCAACGTGTTCCATAACATAAAAAGATTAAAAAAATTAGAGTTTCATGTCCAGGACGATCAGTTAAGCTCCTGGTTGATACATAGAGGATACATACGCATGTATGTTGAACTTATTTCGCACCGTACGTAGCCAACCGTGCTAATCGGAGGTGTTTAATACACATTAACACAGGATACAATTATCGTGCGAAAGAAGTGATAGTGGGAGGGGCAATGTGGAACTGAGCGCAGGAGTTTGGTTGTTGTTATTGTTGTTGTCGTGTGTGCGGTGCAAAAGCAACGATTTGATCTCTCACCATGGTGGACTTGGATGTGCAGAGCGGGCGTCGAAGAGAAGATGATGAGATCGGCAGAGTTCACCGGTGCTTTGGACGATGAGCGTGGGCGGATGTTGAGCAGGAATTTATAGCTGAGTCTGGGTGTGGCCCTGAGCGCGTGTACGGGGCGTGGGTGGGGTGTGTGCGTCGAGCCGTGTGCAGGGAGTTAGGGCAGGGCAGAGCAGCGACGCTCACAACAACGAACGGAGCGCCGGGCGGATAAAATTTGACCAAGTTGGCACAGTAGGGGGGCACAGCTGGTGCATCCGCCGGTCATCTCAGTCAACCCCATGGCACCTGGGTCTGTCCCGTGACCTGCCAGCAGTGAGCCTTCGACACTTCACATGGCATGGAGATGCACGTGGCCTGGCACAGGTTCCGTGCTGACGTCCCCGCCACTTAGTGTCGACTGGCCGTTGTGGTTGCGTATGGCTGGGGAACGATCATGGTTAGAACGCTGCGCTTCAAACCCGGCGATCCGCTCACGGCCAACACCAGCGACGATTTTTGATCCGGTCCGGAGCCTCCCCTAGGTCTACTCAGCCTCAAATGAGTACCTGTTGCGCTGTGTAAACGTCTCCACTGGGGAGAAAGAGGCGGTCAGGCGTGGCTACTGGTCACCCACCCGTCCATAGGTGCGTCATCGCTCATCGGATTCGTCCGGGATAAATCATGATTATTATTCTGCTACAAGCGCTTGTCCAAAACGTTTGTTCAGGCTATACGGTGTGGGGAGGGGGGATAGTTTGTCTTGTGTGTGTGTGGAAAACGCCCATTGCTCTGTGTGTGTGTGTAAGGGCGTGGAGCACAGGCGGTGCATCTGTCTGTCACCTGTCAACCCAAGGCACCTGTCAACCCAAGGCACCTGTCAACCCAAGGCACCTGTCAACCCAAGGCAACTGTCAACCCAAGGCAACTGTCAACCCAAGGCACCTGTCAACCCAAGGCACCTGTCAACCCAAGGCACCTGTCAACCCAAGGCACCGGTCAACCCAAGGCACCTGCCAACCCAAGGCACCTGCCAACCCAAGGCACCTGTCAACCCAAGGCACCTGGGTCTTCGCGTGATCGCCTCGAAGTGCTCCGAGCGTGACACGGTTCGCCGTGGCGACGTCACCGCCGTTGAGTTGCGAAACGACTGCAAGTTGGTGCCCTCTGGTAGGACGATTTGGGGAGCGGTGGCGCAGCGGTCAGTGCGCTGCCGCTGCAAATCTCCGGCCACCTGAGTTCGATTCCCGCTCACGGCCAACGCGAGCGACGATTAGCTGAACCGGTCCTGCGCCCCCTCGACGTCTCAAATGAGTGTCGTGGTGGTTAGCGCACTGAGTTTACCAACTTGGCGAAGCGCGTTCGACTCCCGTTCACGGCTAACATCGGGCCCGGATCTGGGCCTTAAACTGTTTGCAAACATCAGCCCGGGAAAGACAAATTCGGCTGGGAGTGGTGTTAGGTGCTTGCTATTTGCGCTTGCACCAACAGTCTGGTAAGGGGGCTGTCCATAAATGGCGTCACGCGATTTAGGACGATTTTTGACCCACCCCCCCCCCCCCTTCGTCATACGGCGTCACAAAAAATCAGACCCCCCCTAAAATATGACATCACGCACCTAGGGGGGGGGGGGGTCAGACATTTGTGACAATGTGTAACGAGGGGGGGGGGGGGTTGAGAAATGTGACGTCACATCAAAATGCGCAACTTTAAATGCATATAGACAACACGTTCTACTTAATTAAATAAACTTTTTAATAAATGTTTTCTCCTACAACATCAGAGTGCAGCGCCACATTAAATACGCCTACAATGACGATCGTTTAAAGCGATTTGAAGCATGTTTTATTTTGGGGGGGGGGGGGGTGCAGAGCTTTGTGACGTCATATTTGAGGGGGGTCTGACTTTTTGTGACGTCGTGTGACGAGGGGGGGGGGGGTCAAAAATCGTCCAAAATCGCGTAACGTCATTTATGGACGGCCCCTTAGGCTATACGGGGGATCTTTGTCTCAGTGTGTACAGGTGTGTCTTAGTGTGTATGGGTGTGTGTGGTAGTATGGGTGTGTGTGGCAGTGTGTATGGGTGTGTCTCAGTGTTTATGGGGGTGTGTGGCAGTATGGGTGTGTGTGGCAGTGTGTATAGGTGTGTCTCAGTGTTTATGGGGGTGTGTAGTAGTATGGGTGTGTGTAGCAGTATGGGTATGTAGCAGTGTGATGAGTGTATCTCAGTGTGTATGGGTGTGTGTGGCAGTATGAGTGTGTGTGGCAGTGTGTATGGGTGTGTCTCAGTGTGTATGGGTGTGTGTAGCAGTATGGGTGTGTGTGGCAGTGTGTATGGGTGTGTCTCAGTGTTTATGGGAGTGTGTAGTAGTATGGGTGTGTGTAGCAGTATGGGTGTGTGTGGCAGTGTGTATGGGTGTGTCTCAGTGTGTATGGGTGTGTGTAATAGTATGGGTGTGTGTAGCAGTAGGGGTATGTGGCAGTGTGTATGGGTGTGTCTCCGTGTGTATGGGTGTGTGTAGCAGTATGGGTGTGTGTAGCAGTATGGGTGTGTGTGGCAGTGTGTATGGGTGTGTCTCAGTGTTTATGGGGGGTGTAGTAGTATGGGTGTGTGTAGCAGTATGGGTGTGTGTGGCAGTGTGTATGGGTGTGTCTCAGTGTTTATGGGGGGTGTAGTAGTATGGGTGTGTGTAGCAGTATGGGTGTGTGTGGCAGTGTGTATGGGTGTGTCTCAGTGTGTATGGGTGTGTGTAATAGTATGGGTGTGTGTAGCAGTAGGGGTATGTGGCAGTGTGTATGGGTGTGTCTCCGTGTGTATGGGTGTGTGTAGCAGTATGGGTGTGTGTAGCAGTATGGGTGTGTGTGGCAGTGTGTATGGATGTGTCTCAGTGTGTATGGGTGTGTGTAGTAGTATGGGTGTGTGTAGCAGTAGGGGTATGTGGCAGTGTGTATGAGTGTGTCTCAGTGTGTATGAGTGTGTGTAGCAGTAGGGGTGTGTGTAGCAGTATGGGTATGTGGCAGTGTGTATGGGTGTGTGTAACAGTACGGGTGTGTGTGGCAGTGTGTATGGGTGTGTCTCAGTGTGTATGAGTGTGTGTAGCAGTAGGGGTGTGTGTAGCAGTATGGGTATGTGGCAGTGTGTATGGGTGTGTCTCAGTGTGTATGAGTGTGTGTAGTAGTATGGGTGTGTGTGGCAGTGTGTATGGGTGTGTCTCCGTGTGTATGGGTGTGTGTAGCAGTATGGGTGTGTGTAGCAGTATGGGGGTGTGTGGCAGTGTGTATGGGTGTGTCTCAGTGTGTATGGGTGTGTGTAGCAGTATGGGGGTGTGTAGCAGTAGGGGTATGTGGCAGTGTGTATGAGTGTGTCTCAGTGTGCATGGGTGTGTGTAGCAGTAGGGGTATGTGGCAGTGTGTATGAGTGTGTCTTAGTGTGTATGAGTGTGTGTAGCAGTATGGGTGTGTGTAGCAGTATGGATATGTAGCAGTTTGTATGGGTGTGTGTAGCAGTATGGGTGGGTGTGTGTAGCAGTATGGGTGTGTGTGCCAGTGTGTATGGGTGTGTCTCAGTGTGTATGGGTGTGTGTAGTAGTATGGGTGTAGCAGTGTGAGTATGTGGCAGTGTGCGTGTGGTGGTGTAGTGGTTCGCGCGCTGCGCTATGAACCCGGAGACCCGAATTCGATTCCCGCTCACGGCCGACACCAGTGACGATTATCTGCACCGGTCCTGGGCCTCCCCTAGGTCGACTCAACCTCAAATGAGTATCTGGTGCGATGTATAAACATCGCCACTAGGGAAACAAAAGTAGCCGGGCTTGGCGCTGGCCACATCCCCCCCGTGTGCCGTGCCGGCTTTCATAGGTGCTTGCTAACAGAACTTTCCCCTACAGTCTGTTAAGGTTATACGGGGGATCTTAGTCTTTTTCTGGCAGTGTTGTGTGGGTGTGTAGCAGTGTGTGGGTGTGACACCCAATTTGAACAATTTGCCCGGGGCGCGAATGTATGAGGACACGGCATGTCTTAGTCTGGGCTCTGACGACCAACAGCGATCTGTCTTGTTTGTGTCGTTGATGCTGATAAAGAGCAACAACTGCAATTGTACACCGAGGTGGTTAATGAGCCACATAATTGCTTTGGGAACAGCGGAGTGTATCATCGCTGCGAACGATGCCTCCCTTCGTAGTTGTAAATCCGGCATTGAGTCGTTTCTATGTTCAATGGTCCGTTCTGGGTGACGGATGTGCAGGAAACCAAAAGGCTGCGATGAGACAATTTAACTCATCAAAGCTTGTGCTTGCAGCAGACCCAGCACGAGAGATCTCTCTTCGAAATAAGAGTCTCAACAATGCGCACACAGCGGCAGAGAGGGTAACACCTGATAATTGTTTTTTTACCCTTCTATCTGGCAAAAAAACTGACACCTTTTTTTTACAAGGAGTCACGTTTGCATAGACCACAATACCTGCAGTCATAATGCAAACAAAAAACATAACTCTGATAATGTGCACTGTCCTTGAAGTTGATTGGTCCACACCCGACACAGCTTTCCTTAGAGCCTAGTCTCACATGAGTTGGACCAGATGACGCCAAAAGGCGCACAACTCAAAGACAATGCACCATCAGAGTATGCATGTATTGTGGTCTATGCAAACATGACTCCTTGTAAAAAGGTGTCAGTTTTGTTGCCAGATAGAAGGGTAAAAAAACCAATTATCATATTTTTACTGGCAAATGAGGTTCCCAAGGGTAACACCTCTTCTTATTTTTCATTCTTTAATACTGAATACTGGTGTAGTGGGTTCCACGGAGACTCGAGACGTTGTCTCTAGAGGCAACACGGTTTATTGTAATTATTTAACAGGAAGCCCCCTTACTCCCACTACCTGGGGAGGATTGGCCTCCGGACTGACTTGCCCTATCACTGGGGCTACGGGCTCTTAGTCCTCCGGCTAAGGGTGACCTGAGGGAGGCTATGCTGACCCGACCCAGCCAAGGTGCGGGTCCCGACCACTGGTCCGTGCTCGGCCCCGGCCCTTAAAAGGCCGTCGGGTCCAGCGGTCCAGGATCCTAGCTCAGCTGGTCTTCTATCTTCGTCTTCAGAACACTGTCCTGAGCCGTCC